TGCCACAAGGAGAGGCAGTGGGGGAAATACAGGCTGATGTGGCTGTGTAACCTCAGACAAGATTCTTCACCTTCCGGAGCCTCAGTTAGTCATGAGGATCACGTATGACATTGTAAGGTCTTGGTGCTCGGTGGCTGGCACATAGGAAGGGCTCAGTCAGTGGTTACTCAGCATTATTTTCAGAGGTGGGGTTGCCCTGTGGTGTCCTTGGGGTGACTGCATAATCTCTGGGCACACAGTCTCGGTCATTGCTTGGCAAGGATTGCGCTAGGAAAACATTATTGGCTACATCACTCTCAGGGCTTCTGTCCACTCTGAGGCAGACAGGGGTTGGGAAGTTGTGTGCCTCCTGGCAGGATGGTCTCAGGTGCAGATGTAGCTGCTACAGTAGAAGTTTTGAACCTTAAGGTCCATGCCCTCCAGAGAGGCTTCAGAAATCTGTCCTCTCCCAAAATGGTATGCAAAATGTGGTGTCTGTGGGGACAGGGACCATGGTTTTCATCAGACTCTCAAATGGGGCCACAACTAAAAGAGTTAGGAATCTTTGGTCTGGGCATCAGCAAGTCAGGCGTTAAGAGCCACTGTTGGAGGGCATGGCAGGTGGCATGGACCTCAGCCCTAGCCCTGGGTGTGACCTGCTGACCTCACACCGTGCTCAGCTAGCTAGTACTGGCCAGTCAGAGATACCAGTGCCTCCCCTGGGTACCCACTCTCCACAAGCCCAACAGAGAGTCAACCATGCCTCGGGTCTGGTGGGCCACCAGGTTCAGGGTGTAAGAGAGACCCAGGCCCCAGCAGGCAGGATGGGAATCAGTGAACAAGACTCTTTGGGGACTGGCTCAGGACTGGGGACCCTGAGGTGGGGTGGTGATAGGTGAGGTGCAAGACGTAAGGGCCTGGGAAGATAGGGACAGAGGAAATGAGACAGGGTCCACTCTGCCAGCCTTGGGGGCTTCCTTCTTGTCCACTTGTCCCAAGTGGGGCTGCCTGAGTGGGCTTCGTCAAAACAGTTAGAAATTTCTCTCTGAATAAGGCCTCAGACTGTGGGTCATGGAGGTACAGCTGGGGGTGTTCTCACCCTCTCTCTTGCTCAGTTTCTTTCTTTCTTTGATTTTTATTTTATTTTCCCCATCTTGTTTATATTTTTCTCATAAGCCACTCAAGTCACTTTGGGAAACAGAGTATAAATGGAAAGAAAGAAAAGCTATTCATACATAGAAAAGCTGCCTGGAGAAAGTGGGCTTTCAATTGTGAGATGTTTTGTTTGTTTTCCTAATAGATATTTTTTTATGGCAAGTAGATTATGTTCATTTAAAAAGATTATTTTCTCACCCAAGCTGGAGTGCAGTAGCACAGTCACCTCTGACTGCAGCCTGACCCTCTGGGGCTCAAGTGATCTCCTACCGCAGCCTCTTGAGTAGCTAGGACTACAGGTACACGCTACCATGCCTGGCTAATGGTGTATGTGTGTGTGAGTGTGTGTGTGTTTTACAGAGGGGGTCTTCCTGTGTTGCCCAGGCTGGTCTCAAATTCCTGGGCTTGAGTAATCCTCCTGCCTCAGCCTCCCAAAGTGCTGAGATTGCAGACGGAGCCACTGTGCTTGACCCATTAACTTAAATGTGGATGTTTTGTAGAAACAAACAAAAAAAGAAGGTAAAATAATTGCCTGTAATTGCATTATACAAAGAACCACAGTTAATATTTTTGTGTGTATTTTCTTCTATATGTATAAGCTATTTCTTACATATATAGATTAATACATGTTTTTTGTATTTATGCCATACATGGTATCCAGTTTTCTGAATTAACATATTTCATATATAACATGGACAGTTTTCTCTCATACTAAAAACTCTTTATAAGCATTTAAAATGTCTCAGTCCCCCGTAATTAGACATTTAGAACCTCCCCTGATTTTTAAATTTTTAATTTATTTTTAAATTTTTAAAAATTGAGATGGGGTCTTGCTCTAACACCCAGGCTGGACTGCAGTGGTACAGTCTTGGCTCCTTGACTGGGGTGGTGCAACCTCCACCTCCCAGGTTCAAGCAATCCTCTCGCCTCCGCCTCCAGAGTAGCTGGGGCTGCAGGCATGCCCCACCACACCTGGCTAATTTTTGTATTTTTAGTAGAGATGGGGTGTCACCTTTTGGCCAGGTTGGTCACTCCTGACCTCAAGTGATCCACCTGCCTCGGCCTCCCAAAGTGCTGGGATTACAGGCATGAGCCACAGCACCTGGCCCCTCCCCTGAGTTTACATTATTGTAAACAAAGCATCGACACATGTTTTTTTTTTTCTGTCCGGGGTTCTTTGCAAAGTTAAGATTATTTCCTTGAACAAGATTCAGAACAGGGCTTGGCTCCAGCCCAGAGCAGGCTGGGCCAGCAGTAGTGTTAGCGTGAGTGTGAGTGTGCACTCGTGAGTGTGACAGCGTTCCATTTCTCGTTTGCCCTGCGAGAGAGGGCAACTGAGGCAGGCCCACGAGGGAGCCAAGTGACTCATTCTCTCAGCCTGTGGGTCTTGTTGAGGGGACAGGCAGAGAAAAGGCTTCCCAGTGATTCATCTATTAGGCCTGAAATCCCTCTGAACCTTTGGGCTGGCCAGGGCAAAGCCCTTCAGTCCTAATGATCAAATATTCCCCTGTGTCAGGGCCGCCCTTGGGCCCTCGAAGAAGAGTGCGCCTGATGAAGTGTTTTGTGTCCTGTGAGGCGGGCCTGCCGGCCACGCACAGCCCTCCACTCAAATCTGCTTTCCGACCTGCACGTCAGTCCAGCTTGGCTGAGCTCAGTTCCAAGGCAGGCTGGGCTGGTTTTCTCCTCCTTAAGACTCATCAGTGAGGTCAGCCAGCGGATAAGCTAAAGTTAACTTAGCTATTATTGCTTTTTGTTAATGAGGGGAGGGCCAGCTGTGAAGAAGCCACACCATTCAGAAAACTTGTACAGTACTTAGGATTTAATATGCCAGAAAAAATTCTGTATCCAGGCAAAATAAAGCAATTGACAATGATTTAAGTCCTAACTGGACTCCCAAGGGTCCCTTGTGCTTCTCTGAGCTTTCATTTTATTATTATTTTTTAAAATATTTTTCTTATGAAGTTATGAATCTTGGAAGTCGTGTGAAGCGCGGGCGACCTCACTGGTCTCATCAGAGTAGCAGGAGCCTTCTTTTGTGGATGGAAGCTGGGCTGTAATTACACTTTGAGTGGGTGGAGGATGAGGCTTGTGGGAAATTGTGTTACCAAAACCCTAGGGTTGGCAAGGGAGTGATGGCTGAATACCCATCCTACGGGACTACAGGAATTGAGGGAAAAGGAGCAGAGATTGGCTTTTCTTGGACGACGGTTAATAGAAACAAACCAACTCCTTCTCAGAGACAAGATTCAAAAGCAGAGGCTGAATATCCTGGGTGTTCCTGAAACCAAGAACACTTGACTTGTGTCTTAAAATTCCATAGCCCACTAGCATGTTCACAGATGCTGTTCAAAGTGACCTCTTTTGACAAAGAAGCAGTGTTCCTGCAGGGTTGAAACCACTTGAAAAAACTTTGTTAAAGTTGATGTACAAAAATGTTTAAAATGCTTTGAAGAAATGAGATCTGAGATGTTCCTGCTATAAAGTCGTCTGTGAACAAGTCAAATTGAAAGTCTGGAAGCGAGATGTGCTTATAGGCCGAGAGATCTAAGAGAAAGTTTCTTTTCAGCGTGACCCATGTTTGCAACCTACCTACTGTGCACCATTGTAGCTTGGCTCTAGAGGATAGAGACCTGTAGACCTGTATTTCGTGCCTCAGGGAATCTAGTTGGGGGAAGCCCTACTGTGGCCAGACCTAGCGCCAGGAGCAGTGAGGAAGGAGGAATAGATTCTGATTAGGGAGTGCTTATAAAGCCCAAAGGAGCATCATTTGAGCTGAACTTGAAGAGTTGGCCCACTACGATGCTTAGAGATGTGGGAGAAGAGTCTGGAAGGGCAGGAGACTACCTAATGAAGGCACAGGGATGCGTGTGGGTGGCATTCTTCAGAGTATGGCTGCTGGGGAGGAGAAAAAGCAAGGGATAAGTAGGGAGTGGTGGCTGTTGGCAGGTTGTGGAGGCTTTGATAGGAGTTTGGACTTGATTCTGTAGCTATTAGGGACTCATGGAAGGTTTCTGAGTAGGGAAGTAACTTGCAAATATCGATTAATTTTTAAATGGAAAACAAACATATCCATACATGCTCATTGAAAGACATTTCAGCAATATTAAAGGCTATGAAGCAGAAGATGAAAATGCTCCCCTTCCCAGAGGTAACCACTGCTTCTTTTCACGTTATTTCATCCACCTGTATCTATGGGATCGGCACATAAAAATTGTTGGAAACAGATGCTCAGTGCTGCAAAGAAAAATTAGCACTAAGACAAAGGATCTCTCAGCAAGGCAATTTTTACTTCCTGCAGGAAGCATACCTTTGCAAGACATCTTGCTATGAGAGGACAATGAACAAAGGAAAAGCAGACATATTTTTTCTTTACACATTTGGGGTTGTTCTTACTGCTGTGTCTGATCTCCATTGGTTGGAGCTAGACCTCACAATCTAAACTAAAACCTGATTGGCTAATAACTTAAAACTTTTCTAAGCAGGTAAAAAGCAATGGAGAACAAAAAGGAAGTGCAAATAAGGAAGGGGCATAGGCTGCAAGCTGGGACATGCCTGTGAGCACGTGCAGCACAGATATTTGGTTAAAGTACAAGGACAAAAAGCAAGAATGCTTTGAAGAAAGTCTTTACAACAAACTATTATTTATAACAATTATGAAACTTTAAAGAGGAACTTTTCTACTTCCCATAAAAGTCAACTCTAGAAGTGAGAGGGAAGGCAGTTCAGACCTTCTCTGTCTCTGTGCCATGTACATGCTCCTACCTTTCCAATATTTAAAGTGATACATGAAATACAACTGTAATCTTGGGAAATGTGTGCTATGTCTTCTCATTGAGCTCATGTTGCTCTCCATTGCATTATTTCAGAAAATGGTTTTATTGGATATTCACCCGAACTGCTACAGAACAACTTGCTGCCTGATTACAGCCCCGGGGAGTCTTTTTTCACTGTCTTTGGGGTTTTCTTCCCAGCGGCTACAGGTATTGTAATCTGCATTGTTTTTTACTTTTAAATTAGAGGTGTAAGTGCTTGGTTCCCAAAATTCAGCAGCATAATTGGCCCGCATGTGCTCTTGGTATGTATATCCAACTTTAGATGTGGGCTTAGCTTCGACTAAAATTGTGTTATTTTATGTATGTATGTATGTATGTAGTTTGTAGAGACAGGGTCTCACTATGTTGCTGGTCTCAAACCCTTGGCCTCAAACATTAAAATCGATAGTTTTAACAGGGAGTTTACTGAAGGCCCTCAATACGACTTAATCCTCCTCACTCCTTACACGTTGACACTCTTGTTCATAGAAGGGACACATATCTCATATGGCTGAACAGGACGGAGTCCTCAGCAGGATAAGCTGCTCTTTTCACAAGTGGAATAAGTACATGCCTGGTCTAGAAACTTCCCTTCTCCCTCCCCCTGCGTCTTCTCCCAGAGGGCAGAGAAATGCTGTTGTGTGTCTTGTCTTTCCTTGCTATATCAGGTATGAGCCAAACCAGTGTCCCAGGGATGAGGAATGAATCTCTTTACCCTCTGTTCCTCAAGTTCCTGCTCTACAGTGACTGTAGAGGAGCCTCCCAAAGCCAAGGTCCCTGTAGGAATCCTGCCCCATGCTTGGGTCTCTGGTCTGGAAGGCAATAAGCTAACATGTTGACCAGATGATCATAAAAAATAACATTTGCTAGTGGCTGGGCTTGTCCCCAGGGAACAGACTTTTAATGAAGAGAGAAAAGCATTTCACTCTTGATCAACAGAGTGTTGATGGCCTGCAGTGTATCTGCCTTGTCTCTCTCTCTCCCCTTTTCCCTCTGCCCTCCTACATGTGGCCATTTCCTTACTTCTTGTCCCCGCCCCAAAAGGGATAGGGAGAGAAAAAGAAGGAGAGGCTACTAGAATGTCTAAGATTGAGACGATTGTCCACGCAAGTGTTAGCAAGGATGTGGGGACACTGGAACCCTCGTGCACTGCTGAATGGAATGTAAAATGGTGCAATGACTTTGGAAAAATGTTTAACAGTTTCTTAAAAATTACACCCAGCTATTCTACACCTAGTTATCTAATGCAGAGGATCAAAGGCATGTGTTCATATGAAGATTTGTACATTAATGTTCAAAGCAGCTTAAATTGTAATAGTCTCAAACTAGAAACAGCTTGAATGTTCATCAACAGGTGAGTGTATAAACAAACTATGGTGTAGCCACACAATAGAAAACCACTCAGCAATAAAAAGAAATAACTGACCCGATGTGTATCACACCTGTAATACCAGCACTTTGGGAGGCCGAGGCAGGTGGATCACCTGAGGTCAGGAGATGGAGACCAGCCTGGCCAACATGGCAAAAACCCCATCTCTACTAAAAATACAAAAGAATTAGCAAGGTGTAGTGGTGTGTGCCTGTAATCCCAGCTACTCCGGAGGCTGAGGCAGAAGAATCACTTGGACCTGGGAGGCAGAGGTTGCAGTAGGCCAATATTGCACCACTGCACTCCAGCCTGGGTGACAGAGTGAGACTCTGTCTCAAAAAAAAAAAAAAAAGTTAGCTGGGCATGGTGGTGTACAACTGTAGTTCTAGCTACTTGGGGTGGGGGCGGGCAGCGGGAGGACTGCTTGAGTCTGGGAGGTCAAGGCTGCAGTGAGCCTTGTCATGCCATTGCACTCCAGCCTCAGTAACAGAGTGAGACCCTGTCTCAAAAAGAAATTTTATATATGTGTATATATATAAATATATAAATATGTGTGTATTTGTGTGTGTGTATTCCTGATTATAGTGATGGTTTTACGGGTATATTCATGTATCAAAGCTTTTCAAGTTGTTACACTTTAAACAGGTACAGCTTATGTAGTATGTTAGTTATACCTCAGCAAAGCTATTAAAATGCAGAAAAAAGAACTTTAATCATCTTTAGTTGCTTTCCTCAGTCCCACTTCTCCTTATAACAATAGCCTTTCCCTCTCCTCTCCACAGCCAAACATAACTGGCTCCCCATCTCCATTCTTTTATCCCCTGCTCAACTCTCCCAGTCTCTCCTTTGGGAATTGCAAGCCTGTCTCTCCAATGACATGGATGTTTTCTTTTTTTAAATTAAATTAAATTAATTTATTTTTTAAGACAGGGTTTCACCATGTTGGTCAGGCTGGTCTTGAACTCCCAACCTCAGGCGATCCACCCACCTTGGCCTCCAAAGTGCTTGAATTACAGGCATGAGCCACCAGGCCCGGCCTGACATGGCTCTTTCACTAGTGACTTCCTTGTTACTGAATACAGTGCACAGTTTTAGCTTCTCACTTTATTTCACCTCTCAGCAGCAACCCACTTCCCCTTGCATTTCTCTTGCCTTCCACGATGCAGCCTTCTCAGCTCCCTCCTACTCTCTGACTTGCCTTTATAGGTGCATCCCCTCTGCCTGCCCATGCAGTGTTGGGGATCTTCAGGCTATTCCTAGGCGCTTGCATCTCTTTCTCAACTATTTTCCTTGGAGTCTCATCCATGCGCATTGTTGAATAACCACCCTTGAAACTGATGACTCCAAAGTTTACACTTTCAGCCCCAACTTCTCCTCCAAACTTCACATCATACATTCAGTTGCCTGTGTGACATCTTCTCTTGGGTATCTTAGACTGTACAAGTTTGAACCAAACCCATCTCACCAACCCCTCAACTCATCCTCCTCTGCTACTCCTGGTGTCAGTAAATGGCAGCTCTACCCAGCCAATTGCTTATGCCAGTGATCAGACCTTCGTCTTTCTTTCCATTGCCCTCTAAGTCTTGCCAATTTTACCTCCTAAGAGTTGCTAGATTCTCTACCACCTGACAACTCTGGTCCCACCTTCATCTATCACTTGTATCACTGCGTCAGCCTCCTGCCTGACTTTTCTTGAGGCCTGGCCATGGAAACGAGCCTGGAACTAGGGCTTGGAAGTGACAGGTCAATAAACAAAAGAAACAGAACCCCCCCTGCCCCCCAGAAAAAAGACAAAGAAATTTTTTAAAAAAGAGAGAGAAATGGAAGTGACAGGTCAAATCCTGGTCCACAAATCCAGATTTGCCAGAAATGTGTGTTGCTTTCATTTTTATAAAACAAAAAGATTCCGTCTCTGACTTTAAGCCTTCATTCTCCCATGATGGCTTAAAAGTGACATCAGTAATTCAGCATGCCTCCACCCACTCCTGCCATGCTGTGTACTGTTCCAGGGGCTCAGGGTTTTATACGGAACCCAGGCATGTTTGGGTGGCTTTGCAATTCCTCCTCTGTAAACAGAACTCATTGTCCTGTCCACAGGGCCTTTCAGGTTTGTGTTGCCTCTGAGCCACGTTCAAAGACCAGAAATCTGCTAAGACTGGGAACCCTATGCTTAGGGTCTATGTCTGCCCCAAACCTTTCCTTCTGGCGGGTCTTACCGGGTCTTCCAGGGATTGGCGGGGTTGGGGGGGGGTGTCTGAGGTCCTCATTCCCTCAGAACCTGTGAACAGCCTCTCTCTCTTTCTGTCCCCAACTCCAGGACCAATCTCCTGTCAAATATGGGGGACATTCCTCTCCAGGGCCACCTATGCATTCACACTGGGCCGGGCACGGTGGCTGACACCTGCAATCCCAGCACTTTGGGAGGACGAGGCAGGCAGATGACTTGAGCCCGGGAGTTCAAGACCAGCCCGGCCAGCATAGTGAAAACCCATCTCTACTAAAAATACAAAAATTAGCCAGGCATCGTGGGACATGCCTGTCACCCCAGCTACTCAGGAGGCTGAGGCAGGAAAATCGCTTGAACCAGAAAGGCAGAGGTTGCAGTGAGCCGAGATCATGCCACTGCACTCCAGCCTGGGCGACAGAGCAAGACTCTGTCTCAAAAAAAGAGAAAAAATTCTTACTAATTTTTGATTCTGCATTTGTATTTTTAGGTGGCCCCACAAACTGTGTGACAGTTTTTGTCCTTGTCCCCACATGTTTTCCCCAGACATTCTACTGCTGCTTTTCTGTTTCCCTCCAAAATCTTCTAAGGACCTTGGTTTTTGAGAAACAGAAGTCAAAACAGTACACAGGCAAATTCTGCTTCCTCTCTGCCTCCTGTCTCCCACAAGGCAGGAGAATATAGGTCAGCTTCCTCTTGAGTGGACAGAAAAGGCAACGGGAAAACAGAGGAAATTAAAAAAGTTAACATCTGAAAATGTTTCCCAGTCTTTCTCCTCTCTCCTTCCACACACAAATTGAAAACCATCTGAGGCCAGGCACGGTGGCTCATGCCTATAATCCCAGCACTTTGGGAGGCCAAGGTGGGTGGATCACAAGGGCCGGAGATCGAGACCAGCCTGGCTAACATGGTAAAACCCCATCTCGACTAAAAATACGGAAAGTTAGCTGGGTGTGGTGGCACTTGCCTGTAGTCCCAGCTACTTGGGAGACTGAGGCTGGAGAATTGCTTGAACCTGGGAGGCAGAGGTTGCAATGAGCCAAGATCACACCGCTGTACTCCAGCCTGGGTGACAGAGGGAGACTCTGTCGTGGAAAAATAAATAAATAAATAAAGTAAAAAAAAAAGAAAACCATCTGAGCATTCCCTGAGGCCTGGCAGTGTCCTCCCTGAGTGAAGACCCGTGGGCCAAGATGCCAGATTAGCAGTTACCCTAGAGGCAGGGGCAGAAGGTTTCTTTGCCTGGTCACCCTGCACACCTGCCCTGCTAAGACAACCACCCTGGTGGTCCTCAGGTGCACCAGGGGGTTGTCTTGGCGATGTGGACCTTATGTGCCCCTCCACCCTGCTCCCATGGCTGGCTTTCCTAAGAGAGAGGATGCCTGGTCTGAGTGGGGGCAGGGGATGGTGAGCCTCCCCTCTGGCTTCTTCCCCCAAGCAGGAGTTAGCAGCAGCCTGAGGCTTGAAGGGGCCACCCAGTAGCCCAGAGTATGAACTGGATTAACATGTGAGATCAGCTAGCCCAACTCTCAAGCTTTTGTCTTTTTAATCCATATTTCCCCTCCCCCTCTTCTT